ACACTGCCTTACATAATTTGCAAAATATATGCAAGTTTAACTATACACACAAATGAGCAGCAACACATGACACTGGAGAAGGATTATTTTTAGCCTTTAATGTCAAACACCACTGGCATTTGACCACAAACTCATTATTTCAGAAACTCTCAAATATGTGTTACTGCCATAAGTGCTTATATGAAAAATTATACACACAACATACAGCAGGGTTCAGCATTACTAATACAACTGGCAAACATCCAATTATATATACAGCCATAAAACATGACATGTATACTACTACTATTCAAAAGTCTGGGGTTAGTAAGATTTTTTTAAATAAATAAATACTTTAATTCAGCAAGGATGCATGAACTTGATCAAAAGCAGCAGTAAAGACATTTATAATGTTACAAAAGTTTTTTTTTTTTTTAAATAAATGTTGTTCAAAAAATATTCTGAAAAAAAATAATAAGAATAATAATCAGTTTCCAAAAAAAGTTTTGAATGTTAATACTAAAAATTATTAATAATTATTAATTAATAAAAAAAAGCACCAAATCAGCATATCAGAATGATTTCTAAAGGATTATGACACTGAAGACTGGAGTAATGGCTGCTGAAAAATCAGCTTTGCCGTCGCAGGAATACATTGCATTTTAAAATATATTCAAATAGAGAAAAAAATATCTCTTTTAAATTGAAATAATATTTCAAAATGTTACTCTTTTTACTGTATTTCTGGTCAAATAAATGCAGTTTTGGTAAGCTTAAGAGACTTCATAGGATATCTTCCCAACCATAAACTTTTTAACATTAGTTTATATCTGATAAAATTGACTTAAACTGCTGTCAGCAGACACATCTCCTCACCTCCTTCATGGTGAAAACATCTTTATCTGCACCTGCATCCTCTAACAGGCTTTTCAGCTGCACTTTTGGTCTTACCTAAAGTTACATTTAATAACACTCAGTCATTTCAAAGTATAAAAACACTTAAATACACAAAGGCACACCTTGAATGCTACATTACCAGTTTTTCGTTGTCAACCTTGTTGATCTGAGAACTGCTTAAACAATTTTCTGTTGCCATTTTGGTAGTTATCTGTAAAAAATAAACAGAGTTAGATTTTACATACAACAATTTAAAGCCAATTCAGTACACATGCAAGCTTCAGACTGAACATTACCTGTGCAAATAGAGGTAAATTGGCTATTCTAGCTAAGAATCGTATATACTCTGCTACCTGTACATAAAGTGCTTGAGCTCTGGGTTAGTGTGGAGTGGGAGCCGGCTGAGAGCCGGTCTATGGTTTAAATAGACGCAGAGAGGCATGTCAGGGCTAGAATCCACCGCACCGATCATCTTGTCCTGGGCGGGTTCGGGCATGACATGTCAAAGCGTGACTGGCTTCAGACGCCTAGCGGTGGTAGACTCTCTTTGCTGAGTTGTCTGGCTCTCTGTGATCATGTCCGGGCATGTCCCGTCTCACTACACCTGCCCATTGCTGGCTAAGATCTTGGATTTGGGGCTCATCAGCCCAGTGACAAGTGAAATAACGGAGTGTTTGGACCAAAGCGATGACTCACTCTCCTGGATTATTAGCGCCTCGGTTAAATAAATGCAAGGGGAAAAAAGACCAAAAGTTGTTCACTACAAGTGCTACGGATGCATGGATGTCCTTTGGACTACGACAGTGCCACGTTTATATTTCTGAAATGCTCAGCAAACAGTACCTTACACACAAAATACAACAACAATCTCAAGTTTGTCGTATTCGGGACTTATATCTGCCATCATAAACACGGGAATATAACTGCCATCTATATCCATGGGAATATCTGCATTCAGATTAGCTGCACATAAATTATGTAAAACCTGGAACTTCAAATGTTTTTCCCCCAGAGGTAACATGATAACATATCGACGTGTAAATATTGTTGTTTTACGTAACGTTAAGAGATTTACGTTACGTGTGATGAAACGCTCGAGGTCTTACGCTCTTTTGACACGTCAGGATTCAGTATGACAGATAATAATATTCACGGATAACAAAACAAAGTACGTAGTGTGCTCTTCTCCGGTTATAAAGCATAACCATGTCATATAAGCTGCGGTTGTGTTTGATTACTTCATGCTAATTAATACACATTTCTTTACAAGCAACATAGTAATAGTAGTTTTAAATACACAGCTTAAATTATGCTCGTCTAATGTGAAGTATTGCGCATTTCAGCGACAAAACTAAGCTAATTTATAGTAACAACGCCACAAACGCGCGCACTCCCGGGTGTCTATTTCACGCTGCGGATTATCAGGAAAACCCGAGGCTGTAGTAGGCCGCGCTTGCAGCGCTAGCGCAAGGCTAACTGAGGCAAATTATTTTAAGCGACTACACGGACATTAAATCCTCATACGGTGTTAAAATAATTATCTGGAATGTACAACAGTGTTATTCAGATATTTACAGCTTTATATGTGTAATAAATATATGAGAAAGTGCGAAAATTGCTAAACTGAAAGTGTTAATGTCTTGCCTGCTGGTGACCGTTGAGCGTCGCGAACTCCCTCTGCTGGCGCCTGTTTGAATTTGAAATGTTCTAGCACGTGCGATAAGCGCGCGGTGTAAACACGCGTACTGGAAGGCGAATTGGATATTGTTTACACTATTAGGCCTATCTACATTTGCTGTTCTACTGTTAATGCGATTAAAATAACAGAGTTAAATTCATATAATATTTAACACGACATTTGTATCCTTATTTTAGTAGCCTGTTGCATCAAACTGGACTAGTTTAGCTCATCAGGTATAAAGTAGTATGAAAATGAATGATAATATAACAACAAAGTCAGGCTACTTGACCTAAGAATACTTGAGCTAAGGTAGGTGACAAACAGCACTTTGGGAGATTATTATACTTTTTAAATGCTTTAAAATATATTTTCATTCTCTACACATTTTATGAAGTGTATACTGCTTTTTAAACCCTTTAAAATATATTTTCACATTATTTGCGATATTTAGTAGGCCTACATTTAAACCTAATCTTCGTGGGTTGCATTCAGTCCAATGTTTAATTGTAATATGAGATTAATCAACAACATTATCACTTACTAATTGTGATGTGCTTACAGTAATACAATTTGTAGTTATAATCATGATCATATTAAATGCATCACTTTAATCACCACTAGCTAATTAATTCCTCCTTTGATTAATGACATTTTGCATTCTATTCTATATTGCGCTAACTGAAAGAACTTTCATCTGTTTTGATTTCTTAATGAGTAATGATGATCTGTTCCTTCACTATTAAGATGAATCTGTGAGTCACCTGATTGATGACAATGCTGGGAATACACTAGCTGTGTGTGAAATCCACATCAGAAAACATTTATTTGTAAAGGGAGTCTGTTGTCATGACATGACTGTTGTACACCATTGTGTATGAATGGCAGACTTGTTTTTCTAGCCAACAGAGAAACTTGCTAGTTAGGGGAGGTCCTGTTTGCTGAGTGAAATTACCTCTTTATGAAGGGGACAAATGGACTGTACCATGAAGACATGTCTTGTACAGTCCCTGTGACAGGATCTGTTATTTATAGCCCAGGAGAGTGACTCAGTTTATTTTAGTACAACATGTTCCCTTAAGCTCAACATGTTTGGGCTTGTACGTCTGTAATAGTGAGGAAATTCCATGGACCACTGAAGAATAAAGCCATACATTTTATTAATGGAAGTAAGGACAAAGACAAATCCTAAAGATTAATATTCAAGAAATTTACACGTTAAAAGTTTGGAAACAATTATTCAACTATGCAACAACACAAATGGAAGTTTGAGAAAAAAATCAAAACTAAAAATTGCCACTCTGTATAGATTACATCTTTGTTGATTCTCTCTACACACTTTATGAGGTGCTTCTTCCTGTATTGAAGGAGTTTCCATGTTGGCACTTATTGGCTTCTTTCCTTTTTCAATGTTTTTTTTAATATAAATAAATACACCAGCAAGTCCACCTCTGAATGGCTGAAGAAAAACAAAATGAAGACTTTGGAGTGGCCTAGTCAAAGTCCTGACCTGAATCCTATTGAGATGCTGTGGCATGACCTTAAAAAGGCGGTTCATGCTCGAAAACCCTCCAGTGTGGCTGAATTACAACAATTCTGCATAGATGAGTGGACCAAAATTCCTCCACAGCGCTGTAACAGACTCATTGCAAGTTATCGCAAATGCTTGATTGCAGTTGTTGCTGCTAAGGGTGGCCCAACCAGTTATTAGGTTTAGGGGGCAAACACTTTTTCACACAGGGCCATGTAGTTTGGGATTTTGTTTTCCCTTAATAATAAAAACCTTCATTTAAAAACTGCATGTTGTGTTCACTTGTGTTATCTTTTACTAATATTTAAATTAGTTTGATGATCTGAAACATTAAAGTGTGACAAACATGCAAAAAAATAAGAAATCAGGAAGGGGGCCAACACTTTTTCACACCACTGTATATATTTAGCAAGGATGCATTAAATTGATCAAAAGAAACAGACATTTATAACACCACAAAGGAACTTTCTATTCATCAAAGAACCCTGAAAAAAACAAATCACTGTTTCCACAAAAAATATTAAGCAGTACAACTGTTTTCAACATTGTTAATAATTATAAATGTTTCTTGAGCAGCAAATCAGCATATTAGAATGATTTCTGATGGCTGCTGAAAATTCAGCTGCCATCAGAATTTACACAAATTCAGTGTAAATCACAGGAATGAATTACACTTTAAAATATATTAAAATGCAAAGCAGTAATTGTATATTGTCATATTTCACAGTATTACTATTTTGATATAATTTTGCATTAAATGCAGCCTTGGTGAACTTTTTTTTTTTAATCACTTAAAATATATACAGACACCAACTTTTTAATATAAAACACAGTTTAGACTAGATTTAAATTATTTTTATGAACCTTTCTGTCAAGTATGTACAAATTTAATGTAAATTTAGTTTATGATGCCGGTTTTAGTTCTAAAATATTGCTCTTCACTAGGGGACAACAAGCCTCGTTCCACTTAAAGGGATGTCAACTTTAATTGTACGGCGAATAAAACATTCTTTCATGTTTATGAATATATTCAAAATATATTCTTCCATGTTCCATGAAAGAGGTCGTTTTTTGGGTGAACTGTCCCTTTAAGCAGCATAATTTGCAAAATGTTTGTTTACCACATCCTTTTCAAAATTAGGACAAGTCTAATATTCACACACACACACAAAAAAAGCTGCAAAACATCTAGATTTTAGACTGGAGACAGGACTTTGGAATGTGACTAATGTTTAAGTTGCGCATTGCAACAGAGAAAAACAAGTTGAAAAGCCCACATCACGGACTGAACAAATGATTGACATTCCATTTCACAGATACTCAAGTCTATTTGCCAAGTAGGCAGTGACCCTTGTCCTAAAAGTCATGACTAAACTCAACATAAGATAACATTCCATTCTTGTGTTACTTTCTATAAAACATTTTATTGTTGTACAGACCATTTGAAAAATACATCATTAAATAACACTTACAAAATAAAAAGGAAATGCTTCAGCAATAAGAGTTCTTCTCTCAAACAGCACTTCTCTTTTTTTTGCTTGTTTATTTGCAAATATTGAATAATTGGAATAAAAATTAAACTCTTAAAAAGATTGAAATGCTATTAAAGTTGTCAGCCTCTATGGCTTAAACCTACGTCCTTCCAGTCTATGTTTGGTTATAGTCTTCACGCTCCTGTGCAGGAGCCATCGCTATCTATTCCTGAAGAAATCAGGCACTGAACACTGGCTTTCTTGTTGATTGGCACTTCAGCGGGCCTATGGCCTCTGTGTGAGCCTGCTTTTGCCCTCCTCCTGCTCTGCCAGTTTGAAATGGGTGTATGCCAGGATGCCACTGAGGGTGCAGAGGATGCCCAGACCTTGGTTTAAGGACAAAGGGTCCTGGAAGAGGACGTACCCACCCAGTAATGTGATGCAGAACTTGAAGTGTCCAAACATGTTGTAGCTGTGAGGGGAAATGTTAAGGGAACTTGTCTGACAGTGACTTTTGGATATACTTATGACTTGCACTTGAGTAACGTGAGGCCATGTGACTTGAGCTTCCGAGATGAGTCAGGGACTTATCTTCTTAACATATTTGATTCTTTCTGAAAGTTAATATTCTTTAGTTAGTTTTAATATTGATCTAACCATATATCAGTCTTGTTAGTATGCAGCAAAAGTTAATAAATCTGTTAAAAAATTGTAAAAAGTATATGTTAACAAAATAACAGATGTTAGTTTTAATACAGATTTATGGATATAGCAGATTTGTGAATATGTAAAAGGTTAATAAATCTGTTAAAATAAATAAGTATAATCTGTTAATAAAATAATAGACGTATTTTTATATTAATATATGGATATAACCGTCTTGCAAATATGTAAAAAGTGAATAAATCTGTTAAAAATAAATCTGAATAATTTGTTAATAAAATAACATGTTAGTTTAAATATAAATGTATGAATATATCAGTCTTGCAAATATATACAAAGTGTAAAAATCTTTTATAAATATATATATATATAGTGTTAAAATAAGTTTGTTTTAATATTGATTTAGGAATATATCAGTCTTGTAAAAAAAGTTAATAAATCTTAAAAATAAGTGTAATCTGTTAATAAAATAAGTTTGTTTTAATACCGATTTATAGATATATCAGTCTTGCAAATATGATATGTACAAATAGTTAATAAATATATTAAAGTAAAATCTGTTAATGTTATTTTTGATATTGATTTACGGATATATTGATAAAAATATATAAATAAGTATAATGCTGTTTTTAATGGTGATTTATGGATATGAGTTGTGCGAATATGATATCTAAATGAGTTCATGTTAAGAAAATAAAAACTTAAAATAACATGCTTTTTTTCATATTGATTGATTGATGGATTAATCAATGTTAACATCAACTTAAATGTACAGTGGGTACGGAAAGTATTCAGACCCCCTTAAACATTAATGAGGAAAAAAAATTAACTTAAATGATTTTAGCAAATGGCTGCAATATAACAAAGAGTGAAAAATTTAAGGGGGTCTGAATACTTTCCGTACCCACTGTACATGAATTACTAGTAAGAACTGGATGCATACGTTTGGGAATTGGCTTGATTGTAACTCAGTAACTTCTATTTATATTAATACATGAATTCTAAATGAACGTCATCACAAACTGAACAACCCAGCACTTATTAAAAGTAACTAAATTTGTTAAACATTTCAAAAATGATGAGATGACATTATCTATTTTTCATACAGTATAACTTATATTTTACACATAAAAAATTATGTATTTTAGAAATTGGGCTAACAGAACATAAGCTAGCAGCTCATCATATTTCCACATCCTTGGCTTTAAAACGGGTGCCCAAACTCGGTCCTGGAGGGCCGGTGTCCTAAAGAGTTTAGCTCCAACCCCAATTAAACACACCTGAACCAGCTAATCAAGCTCTTATAGGCATACTAGAAACTTACCAGCAGGTGTGTTGAGGCAAGTTGGAGCTAAACTCTGCAGGACACCGGCCCCCCAGGACCGAGTTTGGGCACCCCTGCTTTAAAAAAAAGAAGAAGTTTGAAAACCCTTGGTTGAGAGAACACTTGCCTAATAATAAGTGGCCCAAAAGTGCTCCCTCTACTGCTTACTTTGAGAAAAGTCTCACTTATGAAATCACACTCAATGGGTGTATTCAAAACCATGAAATGTTTTCAGTATGGCTCAGGGCTAAAAAAACGTGCCTTGATTTACAGCTTCCCCTTTCATTAATAAACAATTATGTAACTACAACTATTTGCCAAGCTTTGACAAGTCTCTGTAAACAAACATTTGCTTGTATTATAGACCTAATCGGACAATTAACAAACAATGAAGTCATGGTATAGAGAGCACTGTTTTCAGATGTTTGTCTAAAGGATGTGTTCTGCACCAAGAATAGAACAAGAAACAAAGAAATAGCCACAGCTGAATGACTGATATTTTAAAGAATTAGCAGAAAGGATACGTAACAGGAGACGTGTTCCCAATGATCCAGTAAATGGACAAATTGACCAGAAAGGCAGTAACACCAGACAGCAGAACCATGACCTTGATGAAGGAAAAAAAATAGAAAGAACCATCCATTTGAAAATACAATTCAGCTCAATTGCTTATTTATTAAATAAATACATGAATAAAATATTCAAACAGTAATATTTAGAGCAATAAATTGAACTTGTGAGCTTTTAATCCAATGGGGAAAAAAAACACAAGCATTTTTTCCCCAAGAAATCTAGGCAATAACACAAGGCACTCTCTGTGACTGTGTTTGTGTATATAAGAAATTCCTTTGGATACGTGCAGAGGGAGTGTGTGAGCCACTGAAAGAACAGATGCGTTCTTGCTCGCACTCTTACCAGGGCCTGAAATGACCAGGGGCCAAAGATACCACCCTCTCCAGTGAGGGGTTCGAAGAACGGCACCAGGACCAAGAGAAATGCTGAAGACATGGGTGCTTGATAATACAGTAACTGCATAGAGTTCACCTGAAGCTCATGCTGTTTGGCACCAACCCACTGTAATAGGAGAAATAAATGATGAAATCACCATTCAGATTCAGTCTGAACATCTGAATAATTAATGAGGGAAGTAATTATGGTCAGAAGTTTCAACTAGGCATTTATTTAAAAAGTAGTTTCTCAAAAATATATTTTTATTTGTTTATATAAAGTTTAGTTGATATAAGTTTAGATTTGGGGGTTGTCCCTTATACACCAAGACTGCATTTGTTTAAAAAATAAAAAAAATAGAGTAAATGTAATTTATTCCTGTGATGGCAAAGCTGAATTTTCAGCAGCCGTTACTACAGTCTTCAGTGTCACATGATCCTTCAGAAATCATTCTAATAAACTGAATTGGTGCTCAAGAAACATTCTTATTATTACGAGCATTGAAAACAGTTGTGCTACATAATATGTGTGTGAAAATATAATAAATATTGAAGTTATTATAAAATTGTAATTATGTTATACAATAAATACCAGCATTGCTATATTGTGGGTCTCTGATTTGGCCAGTTCCTGACCACCTGCTGATTTAAATAAAGGGATATGACTTTTTCAATAATGATACAGAGGGAGAATGCAATAATACTTACCACTTGATACAGCGAGGTTACGAAGACCCCAAGTGTGGCAAAGCTCATCCCCAGAAGATTGAACTTCACATCGTAGTAAGAGTTCAGTATGACCCCTAAAGTGATCGGTGCCTTTTTATTAAAAAGAAAAGAATAAATTATATGAAGTGGAGTAAAAATCACAGCTGTTTTGACCCATTACCTTGCATAAACAAATCAGCATGTAACCATGACTTGCTTTTATCAGCATTTCCCAAGAGCATAGTTCAAACTGATGCATGGCATGTGCATGCTATAAAAATGATGGTTACAAAGTGGTTATTATATTAACACACATTATTATATTGCATAATGCTGCATACGTGCATTCCACAAGTAGTGTATTATATATTTTAATATTTTGTAATTTTAACTTTTTATTTCCAGATTTTGACTGCTGTTAGACATATCATTGTACTTGAACTACTGATATGTTAAGTAATATTTTTGAATAACTTACAATATACCAGTCAAATAAACAAAAACCCACTTACTAGAGTCAGTTTAATCTTTGTGGAAAATGTCTTTCTGTAGTACATGGTCTGGATGACTATGATCACAGGTGTTGTCATGACCTTGGCCAGCTGATATGTTCCTATCGTGTTGCTTTGGAGAGACAGATTTGTGAAAACAACAAAACCACAGAAACTCAGAGCCAGCAGGATGATTTTAGAAGGTCTGAGACTCTTGGGGGAGAATATATCCATCTTCTGACACATAAACAGCCCCAGCCATGTCACTGCGAAATGAATGAGAGTCAGCGTCATGTTGGGAAAGCCATAGTGCACATAGATCCATTTGTTGATGAACACTATACAGATCGATGACAGTAAGTTGACCAGCAGTCCTGCAATTATCCGGCTGTTTCCAAACAAGTCAGAGAGTCGCGACGCCATAGCTGAGCTCATTCAGACGCACTTTTAATCTTCTGGAGGCAAATATCTCTGGAGAAACCGTTTCAGGTGTCTGCTTTGGTAACTTACTTCATCAGCAGAGAGACGTAAAGCTCCACCGCTTTCTGTGGCTGAGTGT